TGCAACCATTCCGAGGGGCTGTGTAAAAATCATGGGGTGGATTTTGTTTTTATCTTGGTCACTGACGCCATAAGTAGGCCTACACATAATCGGGAAGTATTTTTAGCAACAAGTGGCTCCAGGTCTTAAAATGGTCTTCAATTTCATCAGCTTATACCTACAAGAACCCTGTATTAAGAAATTTTGTTCTTGGGTTATTCACATTGCTATTAGCTATGCAATGATGTATTATCAACACTAAAACTACGATCGAGAACTTATGATCTAAGTGTTGAAGCATGCAACTTTGCTATTCATTGCGAGACTGACGAATCCCATAACATTAAACGCATTTATCAAGTCGATGTTGGCTTCATATATATTCATGTTTGAAAAATGAAAGCGCTTTTTCATAGGGGTTCGATAGTCAATGATTTAGATTAAGAAAGAAGATGACAACCATGATGACATTGTGAGGATCAAACAAACATCACTGATAGTGCCTACCCGTGTTAATAAACTATAAGGGCGTTTATTTTCCTTTCCCTTTTTTAGAGACAATTTTGTGGTCATGACCCCCAACATTTCTTTCAAAATACAGTTCTCAAATTCTACCGAAATGAGAAAAACAAAAACAGAAAAGAAAGGAAAAAAAGAAAAAAAGAAAAACAATGGGTGTGGGTGTCTGTGTGTGTGGGGGGGGGGGGGTTGCAAAAATTATTCTTATAACTAAAAATCTGCCAGAGAGCTTAAGACACCCTGCTGAATACGGTAGTTCCATTCATGAATAATAATCTCTTCTGCCCCTATATTTTCTATTAATCTAGCTACGACGCCCCTCGTTCTCCACCCCCACTCCCCACCCCACCCATCAAGCTCCTCACGCCCACCTTTTCAGCGGTAGGATGAGTACCTGACTGCAATGTGAACTCTTTTTCCTGACCTCTCTCTTTCTCTTTCTCCCTCCCCCTCTCTCTCCCCTCCTCCTTCCATCCATTCTCTTATCACTCCCCTCCACTCTTTCTCTCCCCCCTCCTCCCTCTCACCGCTCTCTTTCTCTTTCCCTCCTCTCTTCTCTCCTTTTCTATCTCCCTCTTCGCATCATCGTCTTTGAAAACATGCGTCATAAATAAACACATACACAATATATATAAATTTCATAACACTTTCTCTTCTCCATCAAAAAATCATAAGCTCTGTCACTTAAACCTTTGGAACACTATTTTACACCAATTAATCTATAGATATGTATTAAGGTATAGAACGTCAGAGGAAACGGGTGAAATCCAGTACTGAAAAAGTGAGGAATTACAATAACAATATAGACGTTAGGGAGATTCAACTTATGTCACTGTCTTATGATTTAGGGTGCTTTGTTGTCTCTCTCTCTCTTTTCTTTCTTTATTTTTTTTTTTTAGAGAGAGAGAGAGGAAGGAAGAGGAGGAAAAAAAGAAGATGAGAAGGAAAAACGAAGAGGAAGAAATGGAGGAAGAGAATGAGGAGGTGGGGAGAGGAAGAAAAAGAGAGAGAGAAAGAGGGGGAGACGGATGAAGAAAACAAAAATGGGAATAGGAGCGGAAGGAAGAGAGAGGAGAAAGGGAGAGGATGAGGAGGTGGGAGACAGAGGAAGAAAAAGAGATGAGGAGAAGGCAGGGAGAAGAGAAAAGGACGGAGAGGAAGAAGGAAAAGAGGATAAGGTGCTTGTCAGTGGGTTTGAGGAGACGTTTCGATACAGGCACTGACATATGCTTCTTAAATCATTCGTTTGCAGAAAAAAGTTGACTTAAATCGGACATGAAACGTGTAGAATTGAAACATTTTATTAGCAATAGGAATACGAGGCCGTGTGTGACGTAAAGGCTGAGAATCTGTATGTGCTGGCAGGGGGCAAGTATCAGTGTATTCCTGTTGCTGATCCGTCGCAACAAGGAGTAAAACAATAGGTGTTATACTGTCGGCAATTTTGAAGGTCTTACCCCTCCAAGCTCAAAACTTACTTTTCGCTTCTGTGAAATTACAAAAATTGTCTGAGACCTGGTACTGCTGCCTATTTCTAATCCATCCTAATAAAAAAGATAAATAGGTAAATAAAAAAAATAAATAAACCCCTCCAGCTTAAAACTTACTTTTCACTTCTGTGTAAATTAATAAAAAATGTCTGAGACCTGGCAGTGCTACCTACTCTTAATCTATCCT